GTTCAAATTCAAACGATACCCAACCTTAACGAGGACACACGGATGTCATAGTCTTTAAGATATAGGCATAAAGGTTATATACATCGAATCGAGAGGTATTGGACCAGGCAACGTTTTACTGTCTATATTTGGTCCATTTTTACTGTTTCCTTCTATCAGCTCGATCCAGTCTGGACATTCTCCTCTGACCTCTGGCATCAACAAAGCATTTATGCTCACAGAACTGCCGCTCACTACATATTTTCTCGTTTTCGGACCATTATCTGAAAACATTAGAAGGTTGTGCGTGAAAAATCCCAGTAGATCAGCAGTTTCTGAAACACTCAGTATGGCACCGACAACCATGCCATGTTCAAAGTCACTTAAATCACCATTCTTCCTCAGTTTGAACTTTGACTGTCTCTACATATCCTAAATGCATTGAGCTGCTGCCATTTGATTGGCTGATTGGAGATTTTCTTTTTTTCTTGAAATGCTGGGAGACTTTATAGACAGTTTATACTGAGTGGACAAATATCCTGCCAAAACATTATCAATAAAGGATAATGTTGTGAAAATCTAGGCCTGAGGGATCCATTACATAAGCTCTTCTCAGCCGAACCACCAAACTTTTGAACTTTGCAGCTCAAATGAACGCCAAGCAGAAGCTTTATTTGCCATCGGTCAACCAGAAAAGCCTTTCTCCATCCCTGATCCAGTGGAGCATGTTCTAATTAATGAGGCTTAATTCATTAGACATTGTAAATAATCCAGAATACAATGAAGATTTTTTTTATATACATATATTATTATGGTAATCACATTTTACAGTAAATGTATTATTGTATTACAATCAACTATTTAAATGTTAGTTACAAAAGAAAATATTTAGAGCTGTAGCAAAATCATTTGAAAACGCTGTAAACTTGATCATTTCAAAAAGAAAGCGCTTTTGATAGGTTTTTACTTTCTTTTCTTCTCAGTTCTCCCAAATGAATTGCTTTATTGACCACCGACCATGCAACCAAAATGAATACTGAAACACAAAAAGAGCTTTTCAGGAGACAGATGTGCTCTATTGATCTCTGACACGCACACACACGCACAAGTCAACAACAACGACACATGCACTACCATAGTCAGCCCTGGGAAGATGCCAAAGTCTGTCAGTGGATGAGACACGTCTCTCTCGGTTAAGGCCATCCGACGCGAGGGCATAGAAGGCTTCTCACACTAAATCAACAGTTGTCTTCTTCGATTCTTGTTTGGATGCTGGATGAATAATGTTGCTCCAGGATATGTTTATGACTATAAATGAATGCTATAAGCAGCTCCTGAATGCCTACATTTACATCATATTCAAGCATTTGCCATTTAAAGTATACAACCGTACCCTGAGAATTAAAAAGACTTTTTCTGATAATTTACTCACCCCCATGTTTTTGATGAAAACATTCCAGGATTTTCTCCATATAATGGACTTCAATGGGGTCCAAACGGTTCAAGGTCCAAATGAGAGTTTCAGTGCAAACTGCAAACTGTTCAAAGGGCTTTAAACGATTCCAGACGATGAATCATGGTCATTTCAAAAATAAATACAAAAAGTTTAAGTTTTATGAGCACAAATGCTCGCCTTGCTCTGTTCTGTGATTCGTGACTCTCCTGTTCGAACTCGTTCATCGAAATGAACGAATCTTTTTTCGAGTCATTTCGTTTGTTTCTTAAACTTTTTTATTTATTTTTTAAAATGAGCAATAGTTTCGCTAGATAAGACCCTTATTTATCGTCTGGAATCATTTAAAGCCCCTTGAACAGTTTAAAGTTTGCACTGAAACTCTCATTTGGACCTTGAACCGTTTGGACCCCATTGAAGTCCATTATATGGAGAAAATCCTGGAATGTTTATCAAAAACCTTAATTTCTTTTCGACTGAAGAAAGAAAGATATGGACATCTTGGATGACATGGGGGTGAGTAAATTATCAGCAAAAGTTTTTTTTTAAAGTGAACTACTCCTTTAAACCCATTAAAATACTGTAGTACAAAATACGCCAGAAATGCCCTTAAAGGAGCCTTACTTACTGTATATTCACGAGAACAGAAGAACAACAACAGATACACATTACAAATACTACTGGGTTGTCCAAAAATGTCATCATAAACGTGATGACTCGGCTATTTACGAGATTCAAAGTAATTTACAGGTTGAAAAAAAAAAATTATATATTTATATATAACTGCAACCTTATTTCTCGAAACTACTTCCGACACTACCCTTTTTATCATTATTATTATTCAACAACGACATTAAACAGATGAAAAGTGAAGTAAATACATTTATAATTTTACAAATTAAGTTCTTTTGACATTTCTATTCAAAGAATCCGGGTAAAAACTGTTTCTGCAAATTATTAAGCAGCACAACTGTCATATCAACATTGATAATTATAAAAAAAAAAAAAAGTTTCTTGAGCATCAAATCATCATATTAGACTGATTCCTGAAGGATCATGTGACACTGAAGACTGGCGTAATGATGATGAAAGGTATTGGAAGATGCTAAAATAGCTTATATTTAAATACAACAGTTATTATAACTCATAATTTGGCTTTGTATCTTATAACGGCAACATCTGCCTCTATTTAAAAAAAACAAAAACATTTATATCTCAGTCACAATGCGACTTTGTTTCTTATTTTAAGTGATCTCATAATGTTTCTATCATAAAAGATTTCTATTTTATAGAGAGTAAACCTAATTTAAAGGGTTCACTCTTAATACGATGACACAACAGACGTGTGTGTGTACCTACTGAAATGAAAGACAAATGTAACCGTTCCACTGACCTCAGTGGCCTGTAAAGCTTAACTGAGCAAACTGGGTTTCACAATCCAGAAAATGAAATCAAACAGTCTGTTTGGGCAAAACATGGATCAGGAGATTCAGGACTTCATTATCCTATGTTTGAACCAAATCTCACATGACACGCACAATAAAAGACAGGGAATCCGGGGCCACGGGGTCTCGCTGTGGCTTTGTGTGAGAAATGAGTGTGTATGAAAGAGAGAGAACACTTTAGTGTGTATTTTCATCTCTACGCAGCCAAAAATGTTTGTGCTAAATGCATTATAGATTTTGGTTCAGATTCAAATGAAACCAAATAAAAGCCATTCAATTACGTGATGCTCTACAGGGTGCTTTTCACATCCGTTTGCTGGTGTTATTACGGCAGGCATTGGAAAAAATCATTGAAAAATCGACCGGAGAAACTTAAAGGATCCTTTATTAGGTCTCCGTTTATATAATCTAATTTCTCATTATCTACAACAGAAGCCCTCCTGAGGCATGGAACATTTTACTGGGTGAGATATCCCAGTCTTTGGATTAAGAGCCCATTTGACACGAAGTCACTGACGGATCTATCTATGAGTGACAACCAAATCCATCTTTACAACGTCTTAATCAGCATGTCAGCTATACTCGAGTTTTAAAGGACAAGTTCGGTATTTTACACTTAAAGCCCTGTTTTAAGATCGTTTCTGATGAAATAGAACGGTTAAGATTGAAATTTGGACACATGCTGCCGTCCCGAGAGTTTTCGGTTTCTGTGTTCAAACTCATCTGTTAAACAGACAATGATTTAATTGCATAGTTTGGGTCGTGTTGTTCTTTTTAAAACTGATATTTTTACAGTATGAGCTGGTGGTAAGAAAGAAGGTAAAATATCAGAAAGCAAGTTACTTTCTTGGAAAACATTCCACCCACACAGGAAACAACAAAGACAGTCATGAAAATAAAAGATTGTAGAAGTGCCCTAGATCACAGGGTGCATTCATAGCAGCTTTGGAGACACAAATATGAAACAAAACAGTGGAACATAAAGCTCTTATAGAGCAATATGTGTGATAAGCAGCAGCATCCCCCAGGACCTCACAGAAGCAGCTGCTTTACAGATATAACACAACATTAATATGCATATGCATGGAGACACTTCATAAAGTGAAACCAAGTTATAAACAAAATTAAATCCTTTTCATTCAAAATGTTGATTAATGTGAGCCTTGTGCCAAAGATTCAATTGAGCTTAGTTAGAGCTGTATAACATGTTGAGATTAATAAAAATAAAGGTATTTATGAACTAAATGGTATTTTCTCTTTCTTTTCGTACAAGAAATAAGTACAATGAAGTTGTAGTGAGAAACATTTCCATGTAAATTATGGAAATTCTTACTTTCTCACAAATATTGAATAGCAGTTCTCCTTTTTGCAGATGCTGATTAATTTCATAAAAAAGGACAATTTCTTACAGCGAACCAAAGAACAAATCCTTTCAAAGAACAAAGTTCTTTCGACATTGATTAAACACTGAATTTATACAGTAGTAGTGTCCAGGACAAAATCTAATTTTCAATGGAGTATCTAGACCTGATCTGAAATTATTGGGGCTGTAAATATAGGCGTTTAGTGACAGAACTGACTCATTAAACAGTCATTTTATTCCCCCTGGAGATGCAATAGCTAATGAAGTCCCCAAAGAGCTTGAACAACAGAAAGAGATATTAAAAGAACAAAATACCTATTGTGCACATGCCTTAAGTCCCTGAGAAGAGCGTTTCATAAAAAGAAGATTGTAACGTGGAACAATGTCGCCACCTACTGGGAAAATTAATGCACCTTCCCTTCCCAGCATCTCTGCTTTCAAATAGACATAATTTAAATAATGAGTTGATGAATAAAGCAAAAAAAATAATAATAAAAAATAAATAATAATACCAACTAACTTCCAAGAGGCAGACATAAAAGTATTTGCATTAATCATGTATTATGAATATTAAAATAATTACAATTTAAATGAAAATGCTAAAAAAGTACATCAAACCAACATGTAAACTCATTATGTTCCCCCTTTTAATAACTATTGTTTCTATTTATAGCTACAATTAAAATATTATTATTATTATTATTAACAAGCAGCTTGTAAGGGCCTTTATTATGAAGCTTGATAAAAGTTAACAGGAAGTCACTTTATTGCCGTCAAATCCAAAGTGTTTAAACAATTTCGTACCTATAATTTTTCGGTTAATAGCCATCTTTTTGAGCGTATTTCTGAATGGATCTGCCCTGTCCTGAGTGGGTTCGGCATGTCGAGCAGAAATGGACGGACTTGAGATCTGAAGGAACTGAGGGCTTCTGCCTTCTGACAGATATAGATGCGATATTCAGCCACGGGCTGTCAATATTAGGGTCAGTAATATACTGCACTCAGGAGCTGTTTATAAAATACCTTATATTATTATACGTTGCTGCACTAGTTTGTATTTGAGATATTCATTAGTGTGAACAATTTACAAATATTTAAATATCAGCTGTGTGTATATAAAAATAAATATTCTAAATACCTTTTGTCATTGTCCATATTTCAGCCCAGAAGATCTCAACACTTTCTCCAGAATCTCTGAGAAGTACTCCGTGAAAAAGTCTCCTGAGAGGGCATCTGAGTTTAGACAGCAAGGTAACCTCAGCTTCAAAGTGAAGGATTACACAGTCGCAGCACTATATTACTCCAAGGTAAGGAAACTACGCGATCTAAATACCTGCTTCGTATGATAACGATATTATACTTAAATTAATTAGTTGTGTGATTTTCTTTGTTCATTTACTTTTTTGTTTAATGAGTAAAGCACTATTTGTTAGGCTACTATTTATTCCTGCATAATCCGCGTTGATTTCCTCCAAAAAAAAAAAAGTTAGTATTGATTTTGTTGCACTATGACGCCATTGCTCGATTTTAAATAACTGTGACTCAACCAATAGCGTGAGTTTGGGGCTGGGCTATGTGCTTGTCTGACCAATGACAGACAGAGGGACTGGGAGCAGGAAACCTCGACGGTTCTGGAAACCTGTTTGATAACAGATTTTTTTTGCGATTCCGTCCGATTGTGACGGTTGGGTTTGGCATAACAACTTGTCTTTTCGCTACCAATTTACTATCAAGGTCAAAACCAATAATAACAGTATCATTATAAAATAAATTAATTAGAAAAATGGCAAATTGTTGCAATGCAAAACTATATTAAATAGGCCTATAAATATGATTTTTTTTAACATTTAGTTAACTGTGATTTATCAGACTTCTGTGCCATATTGGGCCTCAAAACTGATTTCAATGAATAAACATTTCCAGTCTCTCTGTACATTCTTGCAGCGCAAATGTCCTAAGAATGTCAATTATTATTTATTTAAAGGACGAGTTGAATATTTTACACTTAAAGCCCTGTTTTAAGATCGTTTCTCATGAAATAGAACTGTTAAGATTGAATTTGGACACACGGTGCTGTCCCGAGAGTTTTCGGTTTCAGTGGTTGCAGGATGAGGATGGACCGAGCCAGTATCAGGTTGATAGATATTAGAAACTCCTAGTATAAGAAGTTCATGCTAAAAGTGGTTTGGATTTCAAATAGCAGGTCGTACTGTTATCATAAAATATATCAATCCCATTCTTTCTGATGTTTCAGGGTGTTTGCAATGCAGACAAGAATACAGAAGAGCTATCCTTGTGCTATGCTAACCGTTCCGCAGCCCTCTTTTACCTTGGCCTCTACAAAGTAAGAGTCTGTCTTATGCTCTTTTTTTGGGAAGCATTCAAATAAGAACAAGCTAAATTGTTTAATGCAACACTGACGCATCTATGTGAGTTTAAGTAATCTGTTTTTTTTTCCTCAGGAATGTCTTCAGGATATTCAACGGTCTATGGAGGCTGGTTACCCAAGCCACCTGCAAGACAAACTGAGAACAAGAGAAGCCGCATGCCTGGATCAACTTAGAAAACCTGAAAAATCCAACACGCCAACCACAAATCATCAAACACCACCATGCGAGAAAAGCAGGAACTCTACTACTAGTATTTCACACGGTGTGTCCGTTCATTTCAGTCCAGAGAAAGGTCGCCACATATTAGCCACGGAAAATAAACCAGCTGGCGAGGTGGTGCTGGAGGACGAGGCTTTCTGTTATGTACTCATACCAAGTAACAAACTCAATACAGAGACCAAAAAGGACGGAAAGACTTTTGAGACTGAAGACCGACACTGTCACCACTGCCTCAGCCAATCATTGAGCTTTGTGCCCTGTCCAAACTGTAGTTACTCTCGTTACTGTGGAGAGAGCTGTCAAAAAGATGCTTGGGAGCGCTGGCACCAATGGGAGTGCCCGATTGGAGCAGATCTGTTGGCCATTGGGGTTTTGGGACACCTTGCACTAAGAGTGGCCCTGAAAGCCGGACGAAATGAAGTTCAAAGGTTGAAGAAAAGCGCTTCAAACTTGACATGTAGCTCTTATAAAAGGGATTTGCCAGTCAAGTTGAGTCTTGGAGGCCACTGTAGAGAAGACTCAGACCATACCGACTGTTATCATGGCAACTCGTACATGGGCATCTACAGCCTTTTACCACATGTAGCACAACACTCACCCGGCTCACGCTTCTTATTGGCGATCACCATGGCGATGCTTTATAGGAGGCTGCAAGCTGGACCCCCACCGGACATTTGGGCATCTTGCAAGGACGAAGGAGTTGGTGTAATCTGGCAGCCTGAGATGAGCATGCTAGGAGCCACGGCGCTGAGACACATGATGCAGCTCAGGTGTAACGCTCAAGCACTCACTGCTGTTAGGGTCAAAGGTTCGACAAAACTCTCATGCTTGAACTCAAACTGCCAATTAATACATTAGATTCATGAATTTGAATGACTGTTGATCATTTTTCTTACAGAAGAAAGTGGTACGGCTGTTCAGTCCAGTAGTGAAATCCGAATTGCCACAGCAATTTTTCCTGTTCTCAGCCTGCTTAACCACTCCTGCAGTCCAAACACAAGCATCTCCTTTACTGCAGGCTTTCAGAATGACCCGCTCAGTCAAGGTCCAGAGAGCTCTCGCTGTGGGGTGACGGTCACTGTACGCGCTTCAAAACCTCTTACTGCAGGACAGGAGATTCTACACTGTTATGGTAAAACATGTGAATTCAGTTTTAGGTTGGTTGGTTTGAAATATATATGAAGAGTTCAGATGCAAAAGCCTCTAAATGCCATTTGAAATTTTCTTCTTTAATGATGATTTTTATCAAACTTGTATATTTAAGTTCAGTAATTTCACTTAAATAACAATTAATAGGTAATTATCATTGCCATTTAAGTGAAATTACTGAACTTAAATATACAAGTTTGATAAAAATCATCATTAAAGAAGAAAATTTCAAATGGCACTTAGAGGCTTTTGCATCTGAACTCTTCATATATATATATATACAGTATATATATATATATATATATATATATATATATATATACACAATATATAGTAGGGGTGTAACGATACACGTATTCGTATTGAACCGTTCGGTACGAGGCTTTCGGTTCGGTTTTTTCGGTACGCATTTTTGAACCGAACGAACCGTTTTTCCTGCCGAGTGCCGACCAACATTTCGTTATTCAAAAGTAGGCGCGTCGCTCGTGGCAAGTGCGTTCATAATGTAAGAGACGCTGGCGTGACCACAACATTGCCCAACATCAAATGGCAAATGTAATGTAAGCGGAAACGAAACTGAGCTGCTCGTTATTGTGTTGGACCGTTTATCAGTTTGGACAAATGCAGCGCGTGCCGATCTTGATCAGCACTTTTACCACAAAGCCAAATCCACTAAAGAAAACATTTGAATTTGCCACTGAAGTTAAAATCGCTGCGAGATCTAGTGAGAAACATTTCTCCGTTATTAACGGATCAAACAGCGCTGACGTGGAAACCAGAAACAAACATTGTGCCATGAATGAATCCAGTATCCAGTGTCCACAGATCAGCAACATTCACCATGGATTTACTGTATAACACTACTATCTGTAAGTTTGGCAGGAATAGTAGACTATAATGCTTTCAAGTATTTTGACATTATCAATACAATTGCTGCCCTCAAATGTTAACCTGAACTAACATAAAGCTTTGTTTTTAACTACTACAATATTACATTTCATTTTGTCCAAGGAGCTGTTTTGTTTTAAATGCTCCTAAGAAAAGTCAAGTTTAGTTCCATCATTGCTCAAAGTTAAAAATATCATACTTTATGATGTTAGTTTTAATAAAAATTTAATTAACATTTTTTTTTAAATCTTTCTTTTTGCTGTATTTGAAACGTACCGAACCGAACCGTGACACAAGTGTATCGTATCGAACCGAACCGTGAATTTTGTGAACCATTACACCCCTAACATATAGTCATAATTTCTTCACAGGCCCACACTGTAGCAGAATGGAGGTGAAGGAGCGTCAGTGCCTCCTGCTGGAGCAGTACTTTTTCCATTGTAACTGCCAAGCCTGTCAGACTGACCTATCAGAAGGAAGCCGGAATGCAAAAGAAAACGCAACACCTGGGCTGAAGTGTGTAAAATGTGGAAAGCCTCTTCAGGTAAAAATTTACAGAAAAGTACAACTGATCAACATTTTTGGAGATATTGCATTAACTCATTTATTTACTAAAGAAACCATTTGATTTGATACTATTTCAGTCCCGTATGGATTGGTACATGTGCTCTTTGCCATCCTGTGGTCATCGGATCACCAGTGCCGATGTACAAAACAGACTTCAGGGTTTACAGTGTCTTTTGAATGAAGCCTTTCATCTCATGGAGAGAGACAGACTAGGTACTGCCTCGATAGGAATCACAAACTGTTTTGTCGATGTTAGATATCCATAAATATCCATAATATGTATTGATGTTTTCCAGACAAAGCCCTAAAGATCCTAAAATCAGCTACTTCTCAGGCAAACAGAATCCTAACAGAGACTCACCCTCTCCAAGGAGAGATAGCAGATGCGTCCGCTCGTGTGTACGCCACGACAGGTGAGAACAACAGCCTGATACGTCACATGTTCCCAACACTCTCAGAAAAAAAAATTACCTTCAGGGGTACCACAGCTTATCACTAGGACAGAACCGTTATTTACTCCATAAAATAGCAGTATTTTTAAGGGCAGGTTCACACAGATCACATTTTAGCAGTTAAAAACAAGATGCTGGGCAGTGGAATGAAAAAAAAACCTTTTTTTTTTTTTTTTAGAATGCTGCATCACAAAATGCTTATGTTTACATAGAAAAAGCATGGAAAAGCAGTGCAGTTAAATGCAAAAGCACATTCTGTATGAACACAAGGGTGCATATTACAACTCTTAGCCAAGGTATTAATATGCACCTTCCAGGAGTAGATAAGGTACATAGTTGAGGGTCCTGCCCAGTGACAAGCTGTTGTCCTTTTTATTTTACTTTATGAGATTGTAAGATAGTTATGGAGAAGTATAATAGAGTAAATCCTGTAACTGGCATAGTGCGTGCATAGTGCATACACTTGTAGCTGTATCTTTGTAAGTCCTCGTAAGGCACACACATGTGCACGAACACCCCAACTCACACTACCGGATGTTTGTGCATGAAATAAGTAACATCTAAATCATACCAGTGAAGAGTCTAGTATGATTTTAGGATTATTTTACTGGCAGGTGACTGGATTCTGGCTGCGTCCCATCTAAAGCGCAGCATTATTGCGGTCCGGGCCCAATTTGGAGAGGACAGCATTGAGCTTGGACGACAGCTTTTTAAATTAGCACAGCTACATTTTAACGCGTAAGAGCTCAACTTTTCAAACTCTATCCGATGACACTTCTTATACTTTTTTTTATGATCAAAAACAGTTGTTCTCCTCTTTCCTTTGACAGTGGAGACTGTGGTGCGGCTCTCTCTGTGATTCCCAGGGCCCGTAGGCTCCTCTCTCTCCACTGTGGCCCTCGCTGTGAAGAACTACAGGAACTTCATGAAATGGAACGCTGTCTACAAGGACTGCTGTGAAATAATAACCTAAACTGAATGGTGTTTTCAAACAACATGTGATGCTTTTGAACCTTTTTTTTGATATATGTGCAGTAGTATTAAAAATCATGAATTGAAATGTGGATGTGGTACTTTTTTGGAATTTTTGATGCCCCTACATTTAAAAGTAGAAACTATAAATGTAAATATAAAATTTTATTTAAATATAGTGTTGGGCCCATTGAAAATGTTGGCAGGGCAAGTTAAAATCTGTCATTAATCTGTCATCAATTTAAGTCTGTCATTAAATCTCTTAGTTCACTTTTAAAAAAAACTTTTGCTGATAATTTACTGACCCCCGTGTCATCCAAGATGTCCATGTCTTTATTTCTTCTGTCGAAAAGAAATTAAGGTTTTTGATGAAAACATTCCAGGATTTTTCTCCATATAATGGACTTCAATGGGAACCAAACGGTTCAAGGTCCAAAAGAGAGTTTCAGTGCAAACTGTTTCAAAGGGCTTTAAACGATTCCAGACGATGAATAAGGGTCTTATCAAGCGAAACAATCGCTCATTTAATAAATAAATAACTAAGTTTAAGTTTTATAAGCTCAAATGCTCGCCTTGCTCTGTTCTGTGATGCGTGACTCTCCTGTTCGAACTCGTTCATCAAAATGAACAAATCTTTTTCCAAGTCAATTTGTTCGTTTCGTTGATTGAATGAACCAAACGCCTCGGAAAAAAGATTTGTTCATTTTGATAAACGAGTTCGAACAGGAAAGTCACAAACGTGAGTCACAGAACAGAGCAAGGCGAGCATTTGTGCTTATAAAACTTAAACTTTGTTATTTATTTATTAAATGGCCCATCGTTTCGCTTGATAAGACCCTTATTCATCGTCTGGAATCGTTTAAAGCCCTTTGAACAGTTTGCACTAAAAGTGTCTTTTGGACCTTGAACCGTTTGGTTCCCTTTGAAATCCATTATATGGAGAAAAATGCTGGAATGTTTTAATGAAAAACCTTAATTTCTTTTCGACTGAAGAAAGAAAGACATGGATATCTTGGATGACATGGGGGTGAGTAAATTATCAGCAAAAGTTTTTTTTAAAGTGAACTAATCCTTTAAATTCGAGCAACAGTAATCAAGCAAAAGTTTGCAAACATCATTTCATACCTCTAGGTGGCGGTCTTTAACAACAGTGAGGAAATACAACCATGCTTATGAGACACAGCACAGCTCTATGTCAATACAATAAAAAAAAAAAATCTACTTTTTATGGTATGGTTGTACTCTATATTCCAGTTTAGCATTATAAAAGGCTTGTAATTCATATTGTACCATTCAATCTTGGTATTCCTCAAGAAACAGAAAAAGTAGAGCCCTGCGCTCTTGGATATCTAATGTTCAACGTTGGAGTGCAGGAGAACCTGCAGCCTATATAGTGGGATCCCTTTAGATGTGTTAGAAGAAATGTATGACCAAACACCAACACACTGATACAAAAACGCCTAGCCGTATATTTAAGAACAACAGTTCAATAATCCATTGACATTTAATGTAGACGATCTCCGTACTCAAGGAATTAAACCTTCTCCTTCTCCAACGGCTGGTAAAGGAGAATCCAAGCCAGTAGATTTAGCACTTTCATCACTCTTAAAACATTAGCCTGTGTGAGGTTTTTGGATATGCTGTTATTCTGAGCCTCTGGTCAAGGTTTTTGCGTCGGTAAATCTGTTTAACAGTCACGGATAATGAGATTATATATCTCAGGAGAGCAGGAACTATGTGTGTGTGACCTCATGTTGACATTCAGGGCCGTTCAGACTCACAACAGGCAGATAATCAGCATGGCTGGATATGTGACCTCCATGTAAGAAATAACTGTTTATGCCTAAGGGCATGTTCATGATAATTTTTTTATGGAATGGGATTAACATTTAATACCTTGGGAGATTAATCATAAACTTCAAGGGCTTATCAATTACAGCTAATAAGAATTAAATATTTTCATTTATATATATGAAATATATATAATATTTTATTATATATATATTTTCATATATATAATTGTGCTAGCCTTTTCCTTGTCCTTTCTTGCAAAAAGCTATCACTGTTGGCTGAGCTGGATATAGCTTGACGCGTGCAGGTGATGAGTGAGAAGAATGATCCAGCTTATCCAATGAACATTTATTGTTACTTGTATGAAAGTTACAGAAAGCAAATAAAACATGAATAGAAGTCTCTTATATGGCAACAAACGGCTTGTCACGTCATGGAACCATACGGCACACCACCACACGGTCAAAAGACTGTTTGCCCTCTCAGCCACCCCAGATACTGTGGCTTCCTGTCTTTAAAGCCCATCCCCTTGGGTTCCACCTTCAGCCTCTCAACCGTCCTTTAGGTGGCGGTAGACATACCTGTGGTCACATATAATCACTCACTCACTCACTCACTCATTCATCCACAAACACACACACCACTATTCACCAAAAAGAAACATTAATTCAACTCAAAAGCTCAATTTGGCTCCTACATACCGGCCCCTAATTGTGTTTGTAGAGGCAAAAACAATTACTTTTTTTTAAATCATAATGGAGCCATTTTCATTTGCAGTTTAACGTTAAAAAATAAAAAAATTATATATACACATATATTTTAATGTATATCTTATAGTAAATTCAAACTTATCTTCGATGTTCTTAAATGCTCAGGACCTCTGATCCGAACCTTCGTCACACTCTAACACCAAGCAGATTTTGGACACTGGCCTCTCTAGTATACTCGTCTTTGTTTTCAGCTTCACGACCCGGACTTGACCTCTGGCGTCAGGTTTGGCCTCAACAATTCTTCCCAGTAGCCACGAACTGCGAGGAGCAGTATTGTCTGCGATCAAGACGATGTCCCCTGGGATGAAATTTCTTCTTGCTCTTGACCATTTTTGTCGTTCTTGAAGAAGAGGGAGGTATTCCAGAAGCCACCTCTTCCAAAACAGCTCGGCCATATACTGGACCTGTCTCCAGCGTCTTCTGTGGTATAGATCTGACCTTGAAAAGACTCCAGGAGGCAGAATTGGGTTAGTTCTGAGCAACAGAATATGATTTGGTGTTAGGGCCTCTAGATCTTGTGGATCACCAGATACCTTTGTAATGGGACGGCTGTTAAGGATTGCCTCAACTTCACAGAAAACAGTCTGTAGACCTTCCTCTTCTAAGGTTTGTTGTTTTAAGACCGAGCATAAGACATGCCTTACCATTCTAATAAGGCGCTCCCAGAACCCACCATGGTGAGAGGCTGTAGGGGGGTTGAAGCTCCACTGAACTCTTTCCTTCATCAGCGTTTGGTGGATCTTCCTTTGATCTAAAGTTCTGAGTGCTTCTCTTAGCTCTCTTTCTGCACCTACAAGGTTAGTTCCATTATCTGATCTTAGGTGTTGTACCTTTCCTCTTCGACACAGAAACCTTCTGATGGCACTGATGCATGAGTCTGTACTTAAAGAACAGGCTACCTCTAGATGTACTGCTCGGCTGGTCATGCAGGTAAAAATGACGCCATATCTCTTCACTGTGCTTCTTCCTCTTCTTACCTCAAAAGGGCCGAAGTAGTCAAGGCCAACGTTAGAGAATGGTGGTAAGTCTGGGACCAGTCTTTCACTTGGCAGGTCAGCCATCTTTTGTTCGCCAGCTTTACCTCTGTGCTTTCTACAAGTCACGCAGTGAGAGAGAACCTTTCTTGCAGCAGAGTTACCATTTGTTATCCAGTATGTTTTTCGTGCCTGAGATAGCATATGGTTCCTTCCCCCGTGTCCAGTTTGAACATGAAAGTGGCGCAGAATCAGAGAGGACACGTGGTGATTTTTGTCCAAAATGGCAGGGTGTTTTCTTTCCTCAGGCATTGCTGTTCTTCTGAGACGTCCACCTACTCTGAGGATTCCATTGTCCAGCACTGGATCCAATCTATATATGCTACTGCCTTTTTTCACATTGGAAGCGCCCTTTTGCAGCATGTCGATTTCCTCAGGGAAGCTTTGTCTCTGTACATAGGAAAGAATAGCCTTTTCTGCCATTATCAGGTTATCAACTGTTATTGCTTCTTTTATGTTGTCTTTGACATATCCTTTTGTCATTCTGGTTACCATTTGAGTCTGCTGGCCACCCCTCATTGAGTCATTTCCTTTCTGCAGAATGAGTTTTAGTGCATTTTTAATTTTTAGGATCCATGCAACTGCTACCCTCAACTTCAGCCAGTCTGAAAAGTGATTGAGCAACTTGTCTGTGGGCCTTTCCTCACCTGCCTGCACGATTGTATTCACTGTTGCAGATTTCCTCACCTCTGGATCATCTTCACGGAGTTCAACTTTGTTCACAGGTTCATTTGGCCAGTCCTCTTCTGATGACCAAAGGAACTCTGGTCCAGAGATCCATCTTGGGTTCCTTCTGAACCTCTCTGCGCTCACACCTCTAGAGCAATCGTCGGCAGGGTTTCTTTTTGTGTCAACATATCTCCATTGACAGACTTGTGTGGCCTCTCTAATCCTGGATGTTCTATTTGCCACATAGGTATGAAAACGAGTGTGGTCATTTGAAATGTACTTTAAGACAGATGTGCTGTCAGACCAAAACACTGATCTATCTGTGGGATGTAGCAATTCTTCCTTTAACATTTTATCCACTTTAACTGACAAAGCTGCAGCTGCTAACTCCAGCCTTGGGATGGTCTGCCGTTTTAATGGAGCTACTCTTGCCTTGCCAATCAAGAATGCTACATAGACTTTTCCTTCTGCATTGGTCATTCTGAGATAGCTGACTGTTCCATAGCCTAGCTCGCTGGCATCAGAGAAGTGGTGAATCTGCTTATGTACTGACTCACCAAAATTATTTGGCTTAAAGCAGCGTGGAACTTTAAAGTCTGCAAGTTGTGAGAGACTGATGATCCATTTGGTCCACTGGTCAGAAAGTGTGTTGGGAATGGTTATGTCCCATCCAAGGTCCTGTCGGCACAACTCCTGCAACAACAGTTTAGCTGGCAAGGTAAGCGGAGCCAGAAAGCCTAATGGATCATATATAGAGCTTATCATTGATAGGATGCCCCTTCTGGTAAGTGCACGCTGACTGATGGCGATATT